TAGAAGTTTAATTAAATATTTGATTTTGTTATTGACAAACTTTGTCATTATTTAATTCGGTGCACGCTTAAAGTCCAGGCCTGGCACACTAATGCGAATCCGCGTAAAGTACCCGTTAGGGAACGGCTATTTCCGGCACACAGTAGTGTCGATAATCGTTGGAAAGTCGGAAAAATAATATAGTACTTTACAAAATTTACACTAATTGATTTATTGACAAGACTATGTCTCATATCTAAACTTGCACTGCTATCAACAGCTGCACACATTACAGGTATGAAGGAGTACATGTGAGGAGTTGCAATTTGGCACAGAGTATTTGATGTCCAAATCATGTGCACATAAAATTCAGTTAGATTTGAGTGCGAGATTCAGAGAGTGAGCATGTGTTGCTCTCACTCTCTAAGACATAGTCTTGTCCCAAGAATGGCTTCTCCATTTTATTTGTTTTATTACTATATTTAACAAGAAATAGCAGCACTGGTGGCCTGTCTCTTGTCAAATTGTTAAGTAATCATTTTTACCTTATAGTCTGATAAAGAATCTGGATGTTCATTCAGTATGTAGGTTTTTAGTTTTAATACTCCAAATGGTTACTGATTAATAATGAAATTATACATAATAGAATTCAATTAACTTGAATTAATCATGTTTCTTGGCTAATATCTTACTCACCATAGTTGATTTTGCACTTTTATGTAAACGATTTTCCATCTGAACAACTCTTTTACTTGCTTCTTTCTCTAATTCCAATATTGTAGTTACTAGCAACTCATTTTGTTCTATTAAATATTCAAAACATTTCTGGATAGTTTTCAGCTTTATCTGGAAAAAAAAATTTGAATTAAAAATACATTTAAAGTGACCAAAAAACAAAATTCGAACAAAAAATTATTCTCTTTTGATCTATTGTGTTTCTTTTTTTCTTTTGTTTTATATGAAATATAATTATATACAATTACACATAAAAATAGTAAATTTAAACCTTTGTTTCAGAACTTTTTGTCATTTTTATCTATTTTTAATTTGTTTTCATCAGGGTTGTCAAGAGCTTGTATGGAGGTAGAATGGGCTGTTTTGCCATTTTGTGAATAAATAGAGTACATAGAATGTTTGCTTCCTTATGAACAAAAAGCATTCTTAAAATTTGAATTTTTGTTAGTAACAATAACATTATAAGAGTAGCAACTACTAAAGCCCCAAAGTTTTCTCAAAGCCATAGGAAAAAGTCCTTGCTACTACTCTTGACAACCCTGGTTTTCATGCATATAACCTGTAATTAAGAAGTGAACAACATTACAGTCAGAAACAGAATATAATGAAATCATAAATCATTTCCTATCACATTATCAATTTTTATATGAAATTGCTATTGTAAGCAAGCCTCCTACAGGTTGTCCTCTCACCAATTTTTCCTCCAATGTCTTCTTTCAGTTCCCTCCACATTGCCCACCAGTGGCCAAGTGAATAAAACAACTGAACACTGGTAATTGGTTATGGGTTAGTGCCTCATCAATAGGCTGGCCACAAGGAATTTTTCAGGTTTTCTTCATGTTTGAAACGACAGAATGTCTTCCTAAAAGGCATCCCCCTTTGCAGATCATCCATATGTTGCACTGCCATAAACAAACCATACCACCTCTGCTTTAGGCTAATATCAGATGAGCGTGAAAACTGTATGGATGCTGTTTTTTCAATTCACAGATAGAAAGGTGGTTGTCAGATGAGTGCTATTTTTCAAGGAATGTGTTGGTAATAAGTTTCATTTCAGATGCATATATGTCAACATGGATCTCATAGATTGCAATGTGCTGTTTTTTATTATTATTATTATTATTATTATTATTATTATGTTGGGTTCAGTGGGTAATACTCGGTTAAACCGGTGGCTGTGTACTATGCCGGACCAGAGTCAAGGCATAGCAACCAAAACAAAACTAAAATTAAATAAGTGTGTCAGTGTCAGTGTCAGTATTCAGGAATTTCCTAACAATGTGGCATGTATTCAATATAGTGGCCTTCTGTAGTGTGATGTATGTATTTCTATTCAATTGTAATGTTCCCAGGCTTTTGTGTAGTGTGTGTGGTATCACACCTGTACAGGAGAGAACAACAGGTACAATAAGCACCCTTTCCATCCTCCACAGATGCCTTACTTCCTGGGCGAGTTCTGTGTACTTGCTAATTTTTTCTGTGCATGTGTTTTGTACATTGTGAGTGTTTGGAATGGCTATGTCTATAATGTATGTGATTTTATTGTGCTTGTCAATGAGTGTGATGTCTGGTCTGTTGTGGTAAATTGTTTTATCTGTGATTATGGCTCTGTCGTAGTACATTTTGTGCGTGTTGTTTTCTAATACTGTCTGTGGAATATACTTGTAGTATGGTTTGTGAATATCTACCAGTTTGTGTTTCTTTGCAAGCTCTTGGTGTATTATATTTGCTACTTGATTGTGTCTGTGTAAATAATCTGTCTGTGCCAAGAGCTTGCACCCAGAAGTGATGTGTTGTATAGTTTCTGGCATGATGTGACATTTTCTGCACGTGTCATTTGTGAGTGTTGTATCTTTGAGTATGTGTTTTCTGTAGTTTTTAGTATTTATGACCTGATCCTGTATGGCAATCATGAATCCTTCCGTCTCCCCAAAGAGGCATCCCCGATCTAACCAGCTGTTTGACGCAGTTTTGTCAACAAAATCCTGGGCAAGGTCATAAGGATGCCTGCCATGGAGTGCCTTACGAGCCCACGATTGCTTGATGGTGTCTATGCTTTTTATATGTTGTGTCATGTCTGTATGATGTGAGTGTAAGTTTAATGGTGTGTTATTTGAGTCTGCTAGAGTTACTGCTTTATGTAATTGTGATGTTTCTTGTTTCCTGTAGAAAAACTCTCGCAGTGACTGTATTTGTTTGTAGTGAAGGTTAACTATGTCGATCAGGCCACGTCCGCCATCTTTACGTGGGAGGGTTAATCTTTCTATGGTGGATTTAGGATGATGTTGTTTATGCTTAGTAAGTGTTGTTCTTGTTTTCCTTTGGAGTTGCTCGAGATCTGTGTGAGTCCAATGTATAACTCCAAAAGAGTATGTGAGTACTGGAATGACATATGTGTTTATTGCTTTAACTGTGTGTTTTGCATTTAACTGTGTTCTGAGTATACCGTTTAACCTACTTTGGTATTCTTTACTTAATCTTTGCTTTATTTGTGTATGTTCTGTTAGTTTGGCCTGTTGGAATCCTAAATACTTGTAGAACTCGTCCTCTTCCATGGATTCAATAACGTCTCCATTTCCAAGTGCAAAATCTTCTTTCTTCAGGACTCCTTTTTCTATGTGAAGTGTTTTGCATTTGTCTAAGCCAAACTCCATTTGTATATCCTTGGTGTATGAATGTGTGATTTGTAGGAACTGCTGTAGTTGTTTTTGTGTGGATGCATAAAGTTTTATGTCGTCCATGTACATGAGATGTGAGAGTGTAAACTGTGTTGTTTTTTCATGTCTGATATTGTAGCCATATTGCGTGTTGTTTAACATGTTGGATAATGGGTTCAAGGCTAGGCAGAACCAGAGAGGACTCAAGGAATCTCCTTGAAAAATTCCTCGCCTAATGAATATTTCGTTTGTTTGTATCGAAGTGTTACTAACCCTGAGATGTAGTGTTGTTCTCCAATGCTGCATAGTGTTTTGGAAGAATGCAATCAGTGATGGATGTATTTTGTACATGTGTAGAATATGTAGCAGCCAACTGTGTGGAACACTGTCAAATGCTTTTCTGTAGTCTATGTATGCCATGTGTATGTTTCTGTGTTGTTTGTGTGCTTGCCGTAGAATGACTGAATCTATGAGTAACTGTTCTTTGCATCCCCTGTGATTTCTACGACAACCTTTCTGTTGTTCTGTAAGAATGTCGTGTTCTTCAACATGTTTGTATATTTTGTTTGTGATACAGGATGTCAATAATTTGTAGAGTGTTGGAAGACATGTAATTGGTCTGTATTGTGTGGGATCTGTGGTTTTGTTGTTTTTAGGCTTCATGTAGGTGATGCCCTGTGTAAGAAATTTTGGCATGTCTTGTGGGTTGATGATGATGTGTGTTAGATGTTTAGCTAGTTCCTGGTGCAGTGATGTAAACTTTTTGTACCAGAAATTGTGAATGTTGTCTACACCAGGTGTCTTCCAGTTGTGTGTTCTGTTAACGGCGTAGCGAATGTCGTGTACGTTTATTTCAGCACAGGGCATAGTTGTTATGTTGTGCAAGTTTCTGTTCTCCTCCTCGATCCAGCCTGCATCAGCATTGTGCATAACAGCAGTGGACCAAAGAGATGACCAATAAGTTGTGAGTTCTTCTTCTGTTGGTGTGCCACTGTGCTGTGTATCAGTGTTTGTTTTGGTACTGATTTGTCTGTAGAAAAGTTTTTCATTGTTTGTGAATAATTTATTTTGTTGTTTTCGTAGTGTACATGTTTTGTATCGTTTGAGTCTACGTGCTTTGGCTGCGAGTTTTTGTTTTAGTGTATCGATGTATTCTGTAATGTGTGTGTTGTGATGTTCGTGTTTTGTGTGTGTTTTGATTTTCTTGAAAATGTTTTTGAGTTGTTTCTTTAATTTGGGTGTTATGTTGTTTTTAGTGTATTGTGTCAGCCTGCCTAATTGCTGTCTAATGTCATTTATTTGTGTTTCTATTCTTCTCTGCCAGGCAGGCTTGTGATAGGATTGTGTTTTGTGTGTGTCTGTCTGTGAGTGTATTTTCAGTCCATGGTGTGTTACTACTGTGACTGCCCCAGCATAAACTAATGTATGAATGTCTGAGAGTGTAGAAATTGAATGAATGTAGTTTGGTAGTAAGTGAGTGTTTACATAATGTAATGTTTTTCCTACTGCCCTTGACGTGTTGATTTTCGGTATTCGTGGTCTTTGTGTGGGATCTGTACCTGTATATTTAGTGAGTGTTTCCTGAAATATAAGTGATAGTGTATTAACTAAATGTATGTCTATGTTATCAGTGATGGATGAGGAAGTGTCTGGAGTATCATTAATGGTAGTTGTTGTATGTGTACTATTATCAATGCTTGTTGCTGGATTATCCTGACAGGTTACGTGATCTTCATTAATGTTAAATGTTTCTGTCTGTTGATGTATTTGATCAGCAACCTGTTGTTTGATATGTTCAAGTGTTGTTTGTGGGATCAGGTTGTTGTGTATAATTGTTCTTTTCTGATCAACAACCCTTTGTTCGGTGACAGTGAGGTGAGGATATTGTTGTGTGAATCTATGGTGTAGTTGTTGTCTGTATGCTGTCATGTTTGTTTCGAGTTTTGTGATGGTGTAGTACGTACGGATGATAAACTCGTTCATTTCTGTTGTCCATTTCATCCGTTGGCGTGGTTTTCCAGCCTTTGTGGTCTGTGGATGCATTGCCACAGAAACACCAGGGCTAGGTTGGTTCCTCACATCTGTTGAGGGCATTGCAGTAGCCATGCTTGGGCCGGCGCTGCTTTCGCCACCGGTAGCCAAGGGAGACTGGAGCCTATTTTTCGAACGTGAGCCTCTGCCTAACTCACGAACGCGGACCTTGTTAACCCGGGCGACGTCCGAGCCGGTATCACACTTTGATCTGGTTACTACCATAATTATTATCTCCACAGAATGTGGGTGTGTGGTCACTCTTAGCTTCATTTCTCCCCATAGACCTTACTGGCATGGGTGTCCCTACCAGGAGCTTGTGCTCCAGCCTGCATTGCCCTATGGATCTGTAAAATTACTGGGCTCTCCCACCACGACCAGGTGGTGACCACGGGAGAGTTATTATTATTATTATTATTATTA